TCTCTCTCTCTCTCTCTCTCTCTCTCTCTCTCTCTCTCTCTCTCTCTCTCTCTCTCTAGAAAATTAATTTAATTTCTTTAAATAATCGAAGGAAAAATGAAATAGGATGAAACAAAGTTTGAAATAATTGTTAAGATTCAAATTAACCGTCATTTATTACGGCATATTTATTCTTACAAAACATCTACAAATTCTTCTCACAAGAAAAGAATTTAAAGCACACTTAAAGGATTTATAAAACTAAAAGTTTAGTAAAGTAGTGTCTGTGCAAACGTGAATCTTTGGTTTCTTCGACAATTAAATTTATTTCGCATATCTCACTCTTCTTATATAATTCTATATAATTATGAATTATTGTGCGTATATTTAGAACGTTAATTCTAATTATGTAATAATTTTTATTCGCAACTTCGGGACTACGGATCTCCTAACATTAAACAGCAAACTGAACGGGAGAATTTCTCCACCGATTTCAATGTTTGTGCGATTAATTGTACGTCCGGTTTATAACGAATGCTCGATGTATATATGACTGTGTTCGCTTTGGCATTCATAATGCTCCAAGCGTCGTTTCATCTTTGTTGTTTATTAAATAAGGATAATTGGTGCTCACAAATACTGTAAATGTCAAAGCGAACACAGCCACAGAGTTTTCCCAAGTTAAACTGCCAAAATATGGAAATTTAAGACCTCAAAGCAAACAAAATTTTCCTGTGGAAGTTTACTCGCAAACGCTTCGTTTAACAGACAGTGACTTCTTACACAGTTGGAATATTTGTATTAAAAATTTTACGTGTCCCAAATTATTTTTAACATTTGTTATTTTGAAACATATTTATTTTGTATTAAATATGTCATAAAGTAATGAACATTAAAAAATTAATATAAAAAAATGTGATGATATAATTTCTAAGCAAACTGTGGAAGCATATTTTGATACTTATTATATGAAAATTATTTATAATAAATTATTAAATTAATACATATTTTATTCACGTTTACCTTAGAATTTGTTTTAATATATATTGTTTTAATATATATTATTTTTATGTTATTCATTCACTCATAAATTGTGTTATTTTGACATTAAGAAAATATTCAAATAACATAATTATATTGCGTTAAATTAATATTTGAATATGTTAAAAATTCAACAAAAATTTTTAACAAGCTTGAACAAATTGTTATTTCTAACACAAATAAGTCATAGAATATAAGAATGAATGATATCGAAATATCTAGATTTATTCCCGTTATTGCTTTACAATAATCAAATATAAAGTCAATATCTCTTAAACAAAATTAAAATAAGAAGGCTAATCAAATTCTCTCAAGCAAATTCGCAGAATAAAAATTTTATTTATTTTGACGTCCTAAATTCATACTTTCAGTTTCATAGTTGAATCCGAAAACTTCCTGTATATCTCTCGATTTTTTTAATACGATTACGCATGTTTGCTATAAATTAGCTATGCATGTTAAGTATAAAACACATTCCGATCTCACGTATTATCGACATTAGCAGAGTATAGTTGATAGATCTGTACAAACTCGATTTGATCAAATATTCGGCGAATAAGCATTGGTGAATCTTTTGCGGTTTTATATATTTTATCTATCCTTCCAAAAATACGATAATAAAAGACAGCGCATAATCGAGAAGAAATTAATAACTTTAATTATTTAATTTTATTGTACAGACAAATTCAATTTATTTAAATTTTAATTAATCAAATATGCATTTAATTTTCTATTATAAAATAGAGGCAAATATAATTTAATATTTTATATAATATGTAAAGAATTTCGCTAATATTACAATCTCGAAAATTTTACATAATGCATCAAGAGAAATTTGTTAAGAATCAGACGAATATGTACAGATCTCTCGGGAAGGAAAATCCTATATCCCGGATGTACGTCTATTCCGAGGATGATCTACACTTCAAACGTCTATAATACTGTTACGTTTCTTCTCCACGTCTGCGGAATCGAGATCATTACCGAGGCTGCCCACGCGGCCTCGCAATCCAACACCTCCTCCTCCAACTTGACCGGTCGCTTTGAGTTTCTCTTGCATTTGTGCCAAGATATCTTGCATTCTTCGTATCTGCAAAAGTGAAATGCATAGCGAGCGGCATGAGAAAATATTTCAGGAAAATTGAATTGAATAAAATTAACTTTTCCAGAAACATGTAATAATATTAAAATGTAATATTAAAAAAATACGTCTGTTTTAATACTAAATATTGAAATATTTACGTTGCTTGGAATAGTACTACACCGAGAGGAATTTGTACTCGTAAGTATATAATTGAGGGGATGAGCGGAATAAAGACACAATTCTAGGCCCTTTTTCCGGCAAGCTTTTTCATGTAATATTGATCGTAATAGAGAAGTATTGTAACATATAAGTATTGTAACTTCTTAAAGACATAAATTCATTTGATATTGTACTCAATTGTATATAATAAAAAAGTAGCAAGTTACTTTAATTTTTATTAATATCAAGATTTTGTTATTAGGCCTTTCCGTCAATCTCCTCAATTTCATTTTACTACAATTATAATTATTGCGACAATATTAGTAATAATAATTATATGTATATTTTTATTAACAAATATATGATAATGAATATGATAATGAAAAGATCTATAATTCTAGTTATTATTGCTACAAAAATGGTTGCTACAAAAATGCAATTACTATAATTTAACTATAATTATTATCATTTCAATTATACATATTTATTGATAAAACTATGCAGTTATTATTATTAACATAATAGTAGTAATTATAATAAAATGTAATTATATTTTTAAATATTAAAAATTTTTTTCTCAGTATAAAATACTTTTTGAAATTCTAACTTCTGAAATTCGTCTCTGGAAAAAACTTAACACGGTCGTTAAAAATTGCATGCTCACCTCTTCATCTTTCTGCAAGAGAAGTCTGTCCGTGTCGGATATACTATTCTCAAAGTGCGGCCCGGAATCTCTTTTCAGTTTGCTGTAAAAAAGAGACGAAAGACATATTTTTATCATTGATTATTTGGAACTACAAATAATTTATCAAATGCAAATGAAGCTAAGTTATAAGTAATATATATTATTAAAGCAAAGAATACCGTGCAATTTTACGAAAGAATCAATCTTATAATTTTTTCAATTTTTACTGGATGGTATAAAACTAATCTGAATTATCATACCATCTCTGAACTATCATCTTCATTAAATTATTATACCATCATAAAGTAGTTTGAAACTATTATTGATAGACGCTTTTAATAATCATGCAAAACGCACTCGAAAGAGTTCAATATTCAAGGAAATAATATTAATATAATAGTACAATCCATTATTATATTATTTATATGTCAAGGAAAGCTTTTGAAACGCAGATAAAAATATTATTATTTCGAACGCGGCGCTTTCGAGGCGTCCTGTACGCATTGCGAACGCAGAATAAGCGTCCATTTGTTGTATATACCTACTGAAATGCAATATTTATTTACATGCGTAAATACCTCCGTTCCCGGATCGCTTGCTGCGAAATTTGAGAAATACATTGGGCTCGAAAATTCTCGTAGTGAACGTCCTGCGTGACGTCCTTTAGATCCTGCATATGCGTCGATATTAGCATCGTCCTTAGTTTGACGAAGTCACTGTGCTTTGGGTTCTCGACTATGATCAATCGGAATCGAAATGTTAAAGATCAAGCACTGGCACGCGAAAGCCAGAGGTACTTTAACGCATTCAATCCCTACTGCTATCGAAAACGCTAATTGATTTTACTCGCAGAAGGTTTATGCTTCAAAAGCTCTTTTATCAATTAAATTCCTAATTGCTTTTGATACAGCTCCTATTTAACAATCTAATTGAAAATTCTTGTAATTGTGAAGACATCGAGTACATTAAATCCTTATTCCGAATGAATGATTTTTTTAATGTTACTTTAATATTACCTAAGTGAATTCTCAATTTTTTCATGGTAGTTCATTAGTGAAGATTTATCTAATAACAATAATTGAAATTAAATTCTTTGGTTATGTAAATCGAGCAAAGTTGTTGCTCATATGAAATAACAATCACATAAATTTTTCCTAAATATTTACGTTAACAATTTTATTTTATTTTTTAACGTTATATTTACCTCAAACGGTAATGGGTGAAATCAGTATGATTGGAAAATATTAATTTTATGTAGAATATAAAAGTTCACCTTCCACTACTCCCCACGGATATTGCCGACCTCGAACTTTTTTTCCGGCAACCTCCAACACTGTCGAACTTCCGACGACCGCGAACGGTATACACGCCTTCAGTTCCTTATCCTGTTGCTTGAATTCTTCGTCTTCGTCGCTGTCGCAATCCGGGAATTGGTATATCTATGAAAACACGAAAAAATTTAGCATAATTATGACCAAATATTGCAATGTATAAACTTGGAAATTCGTGTTATTTTATATTAAAAATGAAAAATCTAAGTATTTGTGAAGTTAGCGCGACATTGTATCAATAGAAATATAGAAAAATTGCAGTTTCAATCAACTTTTCATAGTTACAGTTCTACAGTTCTAAAAATAAAAAAAACTCCATATTTTTTATATAAAAAATTAAAATTAAAAAATGTATTAATTTCGCAAATCTGCACGACACCTCCCTTTCTAAAGTACAAGAAAACAATAAATTTTGTTAAAAATTTATTGTTTTCTTGTACTTTACCAAGTACTTTGGCAAGTTACGTAAGCAGTATTATTCGAGTTCCATCAATGAATGCAATTTGAAAATAAAATTCCAACAATCAGTAACTTTTTTAGATTTTAAATATTAATTTAAACATAGTTTGAAGGTAAAGTGCTGATTATTTCGCAATTCCTCGTTCAGAGGAATCCTAAGAGAGTACTATGCTCAAATTATTTTTAAACAAAGTTCCGGCGGCTACATATTTTTAAATAACTTTTGAATACCTGAAATCAACACGACATTTAGAGAAACTTTTTTGGAGCAATGCAGAACTTTTCTATTTTTGTACAGAACTATGAAAAATACTATTGGAATTATAATTATTTTTTTTATATTAATGTGAATGTCATGCTAATTTCACAAATTCCCAACTAAAGCTTTTCGCATGCTACCTGAATCTCGTGTTCCTCGATGTCTGCCAAAATGCGTTCCTTCAGCTTTTTGACTTCGTGAGTGGTTAAAGTATCCGCTTTCGCTATTACAGGAACGACATTAACTTTCCGATGTAAACGCCTTAATACTTCGAGATCAATCTGCCTGAGGCTATAAAGAAAGATAGGATATTAAAGTTAAAACTGTAATTGAGTCTGATATAATAATTTCGTTCGATATTGTTCCTCGCGAGATAAAAATTATTTTTAATCCTGTAAATTAGAATATATATGAAGCTGGATTATCACGTACCCATGGCCGTATGGCGGTATAAAGTAGAGACAACAGTGTACTCTGTTATCTTGAATATTTTTTCTATTTAATCCGCTTTCATCCGTAAAATATTGGCGAAACTGCTCGTCGATGTAAGCCGAGCATGCTTTCCACGTATCCTCGCAATTTACCGCATCGCCGAATCCTTGAAAGGTACCGTTATAGAACGATATTTGTATAACATTTATAAAATTATTTCATAAAATCGTGAGGAAACAATATTAAGACTGGGTTATTCTACCTTTCGATAAACTTCAGCTCACTCTCTTACTCTCTTATTCGCTTCCTCTTTTGTTTATCGATAAACTAAATAAATTATAGTTTATCCAAAGATAGAACAATCAACTTTAAATGAAAATAGATCGAAAAATGTACGACACAAATTAATGAAGAAGGCCATATTGAATCAAAGGTCTTACAAGGGAACGTGCTCTATATTACAAAAATGATATAAAAAAAAACTTAATGTTATCAATCGGAAGATCATATAATATTCTAGATGGTCACATCTTGGGATTCTATGTTTAACTTAGGCCACACACATGTTTGGCTATTTTAACACAAAATGTCTCGAGAATAATGCATTTTTTAATAATAAATGTTTCAAATAAAAGCTGTAGGGTTTGAAGAGAACCATCGAAATCTATTTAGATTTTGAATCTAGAAACTTATGGGTCTACTATCCAATAATTTGATTGATTTAATTATCTTTTTTTTATTTGGGATACATATTTATTTATCGTAAATAAATATAAATATTAATTTAGTGCTATTCAAACATTTCAAATAGATTTTTACAAGGATATATATTAAAATTTGATTTATTTTTTTCCTCAGTGCAGCAATTTCACGAAATTGCTATTCACAAAAATATTTCTTTATTTATAAAAATTAATTCAACGTATCTATTGGTACGTATATACTAAATAAAATATATAAATTTGTATAAATGTGATACTAGAATATGAGCTAGATTACAGTTGCTAAAACATAATATTTCAAATAACATCAAATAAAACCATACGTTTCAACCAGAACATTCGGTCATTATCAATGTTATTATCTATAAATATAAGATTAATTTAATATAAGATTAAAATATATAAAATATATTACATCCTAAACGGATCCTATATACGCAAGGTTATACTGAACGACTATAATTATATATAATTACATACAATAGTCGTTTAGTATAACTATAACCGTTTAGGATATAATCTTATATTAATCTTATATTTATGGTAACAACATTGATAATGTCCGAATGTTCTGATCGAAACGTATGTTTTTATTTTATTTGATGTTATTTGAAATATTATGTTTTAGCAACTGTAATCTGGCTATTGCTCATATACTTTAATATCACATTTATATTGTTTAATAACAAGTGAGCTTTATTTAGTTTTATATAAATTTATTTAACATAAAAAAAATTAATAATTCATCAATATTTCTCACCTGGCGTATCTACGATTGTTAAACGAAGCCGAACGCCACGCTCCTCTATATCCATTGTCTTTTTCTCAATGGAGGTGGTCTTAGCCACCCGCTCTGAAAGTGAACGATGAATATTTATCGACTCCTCGTCGAGATCGGGACGAGCGGTTTACCCACTATGTAAGTTGATCAAATATTTTTCGCGTGTCAATAACTCGCGAATGCGGAAGATTTCAGAGCAGCAACCATTTGCAGTAATGCTACAGTTCCTCTTTCCATCACGATCAAACGGTGTCATTATTATTCCGATTCCGACCGCACGTTACGGAGAAAAATGTAAAGTGATGTGCGCTAAAATTCTAGTAAATTTTATAAAATTGACAGATCCATATTATAGAGACAGGCGTTTACTTATATAAAATTTACTTTACTTTTCTGGTAAATGATGAATGATCGTTGTATAGTCACACTGTAAAGTACTTTTTACATTTCGTAAAGTAAATTTTTTACTACAATTGTTACTATTAATTTATAAATTACCATACATCTCAATAGTAGAATTTACTTTATATTTTTTGCCTTAGCGGCAAACATTAAGTTAACCTGATAAAATTTACTGAAAAATATAAATAAATATAAAATCTTGAAAGTTGATTGTTTACAATCTTAAGAATAGTATAATTTACTTTGTAGAGTAATAATCATTTAAATGGATTTATTATTGGGTTGTTATGTATGTTTATCTTACATCTCTGATATCTTTTTACTCTTTTTCTTTAGGCAAAAATTTATCAAAAAAAACTGGAATATTTTTATTAGACTTACAAGCCTACACTAAAAAAATACTAAATTTTAATAAATATTTGTTTAAATATAGTTTTAAGTAAATATTTACTCAATATATATGTATTTAATACAAAAGTCATTAATTTGATTTAACTGTGATTTTTTTCATTGAGTAAATATTTACTTATTCAATAAAAAATATTTACTGTAATATTTATTTAATATTTATTTAATATTATTCAAAGAAATATACAAATATTAATATAGGGTGAGCTGATAAAAAGTTCATCACGTTTTTCTCGAAAACAATTAGAAGTAGAGGGAAGACATCTATTATCAAAATTGTAGGTTATCAAAAAGTAGGAGGATACACTTGAATGTTCTTAATTTCCATACTTCATACAGTAAAAAGATTTTATTTAAAATAGGACGGGATATTTTTTGTTTGTTCTATCGATGGTGCTCAATGAGCTGAATAATTTTGCATCAGAATATCTTTTCGAAAATTCAACTATTATCGAGATATAACCAAAATAAATCAGACTGAAAGTTTGAAACAAATTTTTTATTATTGCAATAAAACTTTAAAAATTCATTTAGACATGTCTGTAGTCTTCATAGAAAGTTTGCTTGGATTTCTTTTAACTTCTTGAATCGTTATTTATTATTAACATGAACAGTCTCTCATTTTAACTTATACTCCCGACAACAGTTGAATTTTCGAAAAGATACTCTAATGCAAAATTAATATTCAGCTCATTGAACATCATCAATAGAATCAATAAAAAATATCCCTTCCCATTAAAAAAAATTTTTATTGATAGTATGAAAACCAAGGACATTTAAGATTACTCAAGGTCATTAAAGTATATCCCCCTATTTATCTTACAATTTTGATAATAGCTACCTTCCCCCTATTTTTTAATTCGTTTTCAAGAAAAACGTGGTGAACCTTTTATCAGACTCACCTTTTATATTAAGATTTAGTAATTTTTTTTTAATGTATCCATTTTTCTCCGTGCGAGTATAATTTTATTTACAAGGGCAAACGGATTTGACGATGGTCTAGTCCTTGAAGACATCGTGTTTAATCAAAAATAGAAATTACACACACCCGCCACATCTGGAATTCGCCGGTCTTTGTACAGGTCTCCGAGGAAGAGGCTGTTTATGAGCGTCGACTTGCCGAGACCGGTCTCACCCAATACCATCAGGGTGAACTCGAAGCCCCTCTTCACCGATTTCCGGTGCACTTGCTCCGGCAGCGTCGCGAAGCCAATATAATCCCTGTCTTACTGAGCGAAATAAACGGTCATTAATATCGCGATATCTATATCTAAATAAATCTTCTCTCGCCATCTTTTATAGAAACAATTAGCACTCAATAATTAAGAAAAATCGTGCTCGAGTACAAATCTCTGAATATAACATAAAACTATGTGCATCGCATTGCGTTTTCAGTTTCGATAGCTGACTCATAGACTCTTATAAAAGCAACTTATCAGCGTCATATCACGTTTCTGCATAACTGATATGACGACTGTGAAACGAGCCGATTTGCCGACTCGAGGAGAAAAAAGACGATTTCGCGGTGGACCGTTTAACATGCGGCAATTTTTATTTCAATAAAACGTTTACGTACCACCGGACATTATGGCAGCATCTAAGGGTGCTTCCGTGTGACGAACATAACGGCAGCCAAATGTCGACCAAACGCACTAAGGCCGAGGGCGGCTCGCGTTCATGAATACCTCGTCGGGCCTCGACTTGCGCTGGCGCACTGTCGACCGGCCGATCAATAGTCGGTCGTGCTCCTATGATGCATTCCGGGCTGCACGCCGTGAAGAGGTTAAGCTGAGAGCCAGGCGTGCGTGTAGAATAAATAGCAACGTTATCAGCGCCCGCCGTCTCGCTACGCTTACACAGATGGAAGAACGGAAATGATTGTCTGACATCGCTTAAGCTTGACCGATGACGCGATGCTGCGACGGCTCCGTGCCGATCGCATTTTACATTGCATTTACACCGGCAAGTGACAGTAGTACGCACGGAAGTACGGTATTTGTAAAAAAAAAAAAACTACGATTCTATATTACAGCGTGTGCGCCAATTGAATAAGTTCTCATAGACTTATAATGATGTATGTATAAGTCTATGTAAATATAATAAATATATTATATATACATCTAGATATACATGTTAGATTTACGCGTGTGTGCGTGCGTGCGTGCGTGCGTGCGTGCGTGCGTGTGCGTGTGTGTGCGTGCGTGCGTGCGTGCGTGCGTGTGTGTGTGTGTGTGTGTGTGTGTGCGTGCGCGCGCGCGCGCGTGTGTGTTGATGTAAGTGTAAGTTCCTCGAAGAGATATTAACGAGATCGTTATTAATGTGGTCGTTCGACAGTATTTCTTATCATTAATGATGCATTTGCATACAGGTGATTAATTTGGATTCACATGTGCGCCGAATAAATTAAATAATCCGACGAGTTAACGTTTAGCGTAATTCGAGTCTCCGCGAGAACATGATGAATTTTCGGATTTAACGGATTTGCCAACAATCACCCGTAATTATTCGTAATCACCTGTAAAAGCGCTTGATGACGTGAGATTTATTACATTTCTGCGCTGTGTGATTATAATTTCTACTAATTAATTGTTATTAATTTATTTTTCGTGTGGCGTTACTTTTCGGCGAATTATTCAGGCATTTAAACTGTGGAATCATTTGATGAAATAGTTAAAACGTAGATGGTTTAATAAAATCTTTATTGCAAAATATTACAAAATAACAATCTGTCGTAAAAGAGGTGTGCAACGCTCGATTGTATAAATATTTGAAAGAGATTCTTCGTTTTCATCGCTCGGCCTTATTTCTTATAAACGTCATTACGTCGTTAACGTCGTCTTTGGAGCCCAAAAAAATGGGTGATCTCTGATGAATGTTTTCCGGAACGATATCTAGAATATTAATTTTTCCGTTTGTCGCCAGACCGCCGGCTTCCTTAACTATGAAAGCCATCGGTACGCATTCGTACAGAAGTCGTAACTGGAATTATGAAATTACGAAATGAATATCAGTCGCACGCTGAGAGAAAAGAATGGTTACAATTATTATAATAATTTAATTATAATTTATAATCATTTTTTCTTCAACTGTATATTTGTAATAATATAGTCATATATACTGCTTGAAAATTAGTCTTTTCTGAAGTTTTTTCTTAATATATTTTTTAGTATTATTATCAATAAATATAGTAAGCGAATGTGTTGAGAAAATAATTATATTTACTATAATTGCGATTGCATTTATTAAATAAAAATGCTTATTCTATTTATTATTTATTATTGATATTTTAATATCTTTATATTAATATTTGAAATTATCGTAGATTATTATATAATACAATTTTTTAAGAGAAGAGACATATAAAGTTATACTATATATAACATTAACCTATATTAAAACCATAAAAATGGAGCTTCTGACCACAATTATTTTATCATGCAATTAAAATCATAACCAATTACCAAACACTTTTCTCTCAGTGGATAATTTGATTTATTATGAAATTTTCGTATTTGATATGTAAGAATAGATGAAAAATATTTAATAATAATATTATATTATGCGTAAATAATGCTATAAATTGAAGCGTAATATTACGTAAGTTGATTATCGATAAATATACGTTCTCTTAAAATTCTGACCCTGGTATCGGTCTTCTGATAGAGAGCTGTAATCGTATTTACGTTTATCGGGACGAATAATACGCGAAATTCGATAAATTTTACAGAAATTTATGTAGAAATCAGGAATGCATTAATTTAAGTTTAAACCAGATATTTATATTGTGCCTAAATAAAATAATTTTTGAAGTCCAATATTTTCCTGCACATTTATCGGATAAATGGTAAACAATTGTTTATAAGGCAAAGTTTCTACAGCGGGTTATATTATTACTCAATCCGTCTGTGATGATAAGAGCGAGATCAGAAGTGTTAATAATAATCGAAGTGAAAAGAGAGAATCAAAAAGAAAACATTATTGACGGCTGCGATGAAGATAAATGGGATGACGCGAAATATATCGTAATATACTGTTATTATTGCTGTTAGATTTGTCTTGTTTTCATTGTTTTTGTATTTGTTTTGTTCTTTTCCTTTGTATGTTTTGATTGTTCTTGTGTTGATTATGCTTGATTTGTTTTCTTCATCAAATAATTAGTTCGAAAGAAAGTTGAGAAAATCATCGCGAAATTACCTTGCCATTGGGATTGCTCTTGCTCGCAGGATACAAAAAGATACCGCCGTATTTAATCGTTCTGTGTACGTCGGCGACCATGGAGCCCACGTATCTGGCACTGTAGGGTTTCCCAGTTGCGGGATATTTTTTAGAACGTATATATTCCTTAATAGACGAGTCCCACGTACTCTCGTTGCCTTCATTAATACTGTAAATAATCATACGTGATTTCAGTGCGATCAGTAATGACCGAGTCTCAAAAAAGATGTAATTTCGTCGTGTAATAAAAAGTTAATTTGAACTCAACATATTGATTCTGTCGTGATTACATTGACTATATTTGATTTCATAATTTCTCGAAATCTCGTGGCAATTTCGGTGCATTTCTCGCGATGCGGATGTTAGTCATCGAAATTGTTTGCCGAGCATATTTCATTCTATAGCTTTCATTTCTTTATCTCTCTCTTTTCTTCATTTCTATATACTAATATAGATGAACTTTAACCCCTCAAGAAACAAACAAACAACAAAAAATTAAAATGTCTTTATTTTGATTCTTAACGTCTATAAACAATCCAATTTTATAATCAAAAATCATCATTTTAACTTAACTGACGTCAAGATAAACTTATTATTTGACTTTCTCTTGGCTTGATGTATTTCTTGAGCCTTAGTACACATAATTTTCCTTTACTTCATACGATGGATCATTCGTATCTCGAGTTAAATTTCATCATTTTAACAAATAAACTAAAATTATTAAATGATTCTTACTTAATTTTTCTGCACTTAAAATTGTATATAAATGTTATAACTTACAACCAATTACTTAATGCTCCCAGTTTTTCGAAAAGAATTAGAAATGCAGAATACAAATGAGTCATCGTGTATAAGGGTCAATCTTAATTTAATTTATTCGTTATCTTTTTCTATTACCCATTTCTATTCAATGAAGATTAATTTTAATCTCGGTTCAACTTATACTTTTTTTATCTTTTTTTAATTGTTAAAACTAGAAAAAGATGAAGTTAGTTGAAGCCGGTTGAACCGAGATTAAAATTAAATTACATTGATAGACGGTAATAAGTCCTAGAACTACAGTTATAAGTCTTAGAACAGAAAAAGATAAAAAGTTAAATTGAGATTAAAATTACTTTATCTATATAGAGTGCTAGCAGCTTACAATGAAATCAACGCTAAGTCTGTCAATTGACGGTCATGATTCTGTCTACCATCTTCTGGATCATCACTGGCAAATGACTGGTTAAAATAAACTGAATCAGTACCATCTGCCAATATTAGGCCAAGTTGTCATCCAGTACTTAGTCAATACTGGGCCAATAATTTGTCACTATTGCATCAGTATCGCAAATGTAGATGACTTAGATCCGTATAGGTAACTTGGGATGTACTTTTGTTAAATTCAGTCATGATATCCATTCATGAGTCATTAAAGAAAATTTAAAATTTAAACTTTTTTTAGAAACCCTTTTTTTTAGAAAATGGATGGATACTACGATTGAATTTAACAAAAGTATGCTGTCCCAAGTTACCTGCACTGTTCCAAATCACCTACATTTACGGTACCTGATTTAACTATAGCAAGCAATACAGGCTCTGATTGTAAAATCTTATATGCGTACATTGGTAGAAATGAACATCTTTCTTTTTATCCTACCTATATATATTGCCTCTATCGGGCATACGCATGTCTCTTTCGGTCAGTATAAATTCTCCAATGGCTGGATCGTACGTAAATCCATTAACGCCTTGACCGATCGAGAGCACTATCATAGTCGCTGATCCGTATAGAGCGTATCCGGCCGCAACCAAGTTTCTTCCTGGTTGCAGAGCGGTTTGTAATGTGGAGTTTCCGGACTGTTCAAGTTTTTTGTAAATTCCAAAGATCGAACCCACTGAGACCAAGCAGTCAATGTTGGACGAGCCGTCAAGCGGGTCAAACGACACGACGTATTTGCCGCTCTTCTCCGTTTCCACTTCAATGGCGTGTTGATTCTCCTCGCTTATGAGTACACATGTGGTGAAAGAGGATGTCAGCATATTGATAAAGAGCTCGTTGCTCAGGATGTCCAGCTTCTTGACTTCCTCGCCCTGAATATTGGTGTTGCCGGCGATGCCATACCTGAATGAATAACGATGTGTCGTGTGCGTTTAACTGGTTAATATGCCTAAACGAACATTACGTAGCTGATTCGATTAGTTCTGGTTGGTAATAGACTTGAAGAACTTCGATTACACAAAAATATATGATAAAAGTAATTTCAAATATTATTTAAATTTTTTGAAAATTTCAATTGTTTTGAATAATATTTTAACGTGTGTATAAGATGATATATTTATATCTCTTAATATATTATCTTTATTTATTTAATAATAAGATGTAGAAATTTTTAAGAACTTTGAACGTATAGATATTGAATCATGTTGAAGGAAAGACTCTCCAGAGATTTAAAATTTTCAAGAGAGAAGATTTTCTTTTCAAGAGGGAAGATTTACGAACTTCAATACAGAAGGTTTCGATTAATATTTGAAACGGGCAGTTAAAATTTTTTCTATGAAAAAAAAATAAAATTATTATAAAATTAAAGGAAGAATTTGTGGAACAAATTATTATTTAAAACAATGAAAAAGACATTGTTTTTTGTATTTTTAAATAATAAATACATTAAAGATTGTAAAAGGAATATAAAACTTTTATTTAGAAAATAAATTATTATTAGAATCAATTGTTTTGTACAAATTTAAAATAATGATTTATTCAGTAGATATTTATTCAATAGATAATAATTCAATAGATACTATGAACTTATGTTCAAATAAGAAACATAATTTTTAATTATATAGAAAATTATATGGAAAAATAATTTTTAATTACGTTACAAAAATTTGAAGTTAATTTTATATAAACATAAAGGCAAATAAGAATTAATAAATCTAATCTCTCTTTATTAATTCCTATTTGCCTTTATATAAAATTATTTATTAATTTCATTACGGTTATCTTAATTCATACAGTTCAAAGCTCCGTCAGATTATTGATAAGGCAAGTTTGTTTCAGAGGTCGATGGAGAGCGACCAGTCATGAAATTGTTTTATTCATGCTGTGCGGTGTGTACCGCAGACACTGTAATAATGGGAAATCATTTATATGTTATTTACATGCAAGGTTACAGAATTGTCAGGGCGTAGAGATTAATGTTTACTGGCATGTATTGGCAGCTTGAGCACGACGGTAAATGTATGAGACTATACTACTGCCGAATACATTTGAATAAAATAAAGAGACGTGCGCCGGTTGAGAGTAAACGTTAGCCACGACACTACGAAGACTTTACACATTGTACATGTATTGGTCCGAGTCTCTCCGCATGTTAAATTTTGACCGTTGTGTGCCGGGTGAAAATGTAAAATCGCATAAACTACATCCGTCGGATATAATATATGAAAATCCAATTCCATTTGACAGTCACAAAGCGATCTTGTCACAAAGTGACTTAAACCGTTGCAAGTCGGAAGATGTATTTGCGCGTAAAATGTAAAATGTATAGTCGTAAAGCAGCGTAGTTTCGAACTCATGAAGATTACAAATTATAATTAGATTAATTTGAATATCTCGTAAAGTGTCTCTATCTCTGTCGCTTAAATGTGCCATTAGGACGTCTAGTTTACGAGGTCACGAAATGTTTTCCGCTTCTCTCGCGCTGCTCCTTTTTCGCCTATTCGGCCATGCGAAAAACGACGAATCGCACACATTCCACGCGCGCGTTATGTTTGCATTTTCCTCGCAAACGTTGGCGAGATTAGTTTTCGTCCAATTTCGGAGACTCATATTTACTGATTTACTCACATGTTAGCGATACCAGCTTTCCTCACGGCCGAGCTGACAGCTTTTATAGCAGTTTGTATACTATTCAATAGCTGTGTGAGGTCACCGGTCGCTATTGGCGCCTTGCGTTGCTCCGCCAGCATGAATCTCGTCAACGTCATGCAGTCTGAGTCCATAATTGTGTTTTTTGATGTCATCGTGACCGTATCTTTTTGAACAGCGGGCGGAACGAGAAATAGAGGCGTGAGAGACCTAGGCTGTTTCGACGGAGACTGAAACTAGTGATTCCGAGGCGTCGCATTATGTAAGGCCTCAGTTAGTCAGCAATATGTTATCACAACAGTGAAAACATTGATATTTCGAGTTTCCGAAGCTCACTCTAGCGTGAACTTCTTCTATGAAGTAGGTGAATTTAGAAACAAGAGAAGGAGAGCTATTAGTGCGCCGCAAGTGAAATTAATTAAATGTAGTAACAAGGCTCAGAAAAAATAAATCAATATAAATATGGTAATGCTTTTTATTGAGCCGACACACAGGTTCTTAGTATGTAACAAATTATTATTTCTTAATTCTACGATATACGTTTCAACCTCTAGATTTTGGGTCCTCTTCAATACAATAAAAATTACAATAATATAGAATAAATTAATAAAATACACACACACACACACACACACACACACACATACACACACACATATATATATATGTGTATATATATATACACATATATATATACATACGAGTGATTCTTATAAAGCATGTATTATGACTGCGATTGTAATGATTTTTCTTGAAATTGTATAACATTGGACCTGATTATGTTGGCTACACCTTCTTAATCTCCATTTTTACGTATCAAATTGCCAGGTTTACAGGTTAACATACGGTCTGTTTTCTGTTCCTGCATTAGACTGTTCTTGAACTCTCTTTTTCACTTTAAACAAACGTATATTTATCTCACTTTAAGTTTTAAAAATGTTCAGTACAGTAGTTCAGCCACAGAAAACAGATTTATTGTGTCGGTATCATATTTTGCATAACAACCGTCATTCAAAGTACAACTTTGTAACAATCAACCTCTTAATGTGCTCTACTTACTAATTTCATGGAAGTTTTAACAGAAATTCACATTATTTAATTCATACAATAACGTAATTTTATCACTTTAATTAGTAAATCTGGCAATTCGATGATAAAATGGATTAAGAAGCCAACATGACCAGGCTCAATGTTATATTCAATAATTTCAAGAAAAACCGTTACAATCGGTCATAATACGCTTTATAAGAATCACTCGTATATATATGTGTGTGTGTGTGTGTGTGTGTGTGTGTGTGTGTGTGTGTGTGTGTGTGTGTGTGTGTGTGTGTGTGTGCGTATTTTATTAATTTATTCTATATTATTGTAATTTATTGTACTGAGGAGAATCCAAAATCTAGAAGTTGAAACGTATACCGTAGAATTAAGAAATAATAATTTGTTACACTCTAAGAATCTCTGTCGGCTCGATAAAAGGCATTACCATATTTATATTCAAATATGAAAAGGTAGAATACCAAATTATTATTTATATTGTTACATTGAAAAGTATTATTTAAATTCATGAAATGTTTTATTTAAAATTATATTAATACAAAAAATGAATTTATATTTTTTATATGTAGGAATTTTTTAATTAAAAAATATTTTTGGAATATCAAAGTTAAGCAGCAACGAGCTAAGCATCTAAGAAATATTAAAAATATATATAACATTTTGTTCTAAATATTTTTAAAAAAGGAAATTCCAAGGTATAGATTTACCAGGAAGTGAGACTATTTTACGATCGACGTTTGCTCGACCGCGAACGGTGATATGCGACCTAGTTCCGGTTTATAAAATTATTCTTCGAAATAACGTTTAAATAACGTGATATCATTGAATGGGAAACGAGATCATACTTATTTAATATTTGTTTATATATTATTCCATAAATATATAATAGGAATGCAATGAATATGTGGATTTGTAAACACATTGCTCATGTTCTATAAAACGTGATAATCATTAGAGTTTATTTTTGGATGGTTTGAAGTCAATTTTCGCATTGAGATTATAAACTGCCATTGATTTATCTTTCCTCGTTTCTCTCGTACTACAAATTGATATTTTATTAATTCATTGAAGCGCGGATGGTGAATTTTACACAAATACATACACTCGTGTACATATATACGTGTTATACCTAACATTTTAATATATAAAATTTGTTGAATTTACTGCGCGTGTCTGCGCATCAGTTAGTCACGCTTCGGTTTATAAAAGAGTAAATCCTTCGTGAAACCGATAATCACATAAAATAAGCGAACAATGACGTAGTTAATACGTAAATTTTATTCGATAGTTATTTGTTGCTGGTTTTTTCCGCATTTTATCTTATCCGGCTTGCTTTTTCCGCACATTATTTTCATCTCTGTAACACATGTAAATATATTCAGGTTTGTTACACACTGCAGTCTTGTAAGCGAAAACTACAGAGAGATAAGTGTAAAAAAAGTATTGCAGATTCACACATGCACGGTAGTATTCTATTATCCAGTCGTATTATCAGGGTCGTGTAAACCGGAACTAGGTCGCATTAAGATTCATTTCGCTGATTATGCATTATCCTTCCATGCGGAAACATAGAGTGTCGCACGTCATTCGACGTAACGTAAGAATGATTTTATTGCTTCTCATCGCGAAGTGTAAATCGATTTTCGTATATTTGCACTCATACACATATACGGAATGTTCTTGAAATTCCGACCCATTTCAAATCTATTTTGAAGATTCTATTATGCGGTTATTTCGAGTTCAAATTAATTCCAGAATGCGTCTCGCGATAGATAAGACCTGTAATATCGTAGCTTTGTTGTAAATGCTGTTATTACGCTGTGCGATGTAATTAAACTAAATGGTATATAACGAAATTAGTGTCGCAATGATGTTAAATCGATCGAATCTGATCCGCCTAAATAATGGCAATTTACCGACTTGAGTATATAGTAACTGCCTTACGTTACAAATTATTCATTCTTTTTTCTTATATAATTTTAACTAATAGAAACTTTCATCAGTGCTATAAGCGAAATATTCGTTGAAACAACCATCAACATTAATAAATAGTTTTTGAACTTTATTGACATCGCAAATATGTATAAAATAATAAACTTTATTGACGTCGCAATATGTTGCCCCCAAGGCTATCACTCGGGCTATCATAAATAAAAGATGAGGAGGAAAAAAGTACGTCGGTATTTATTAAAGTTTCTATAATACAATATATACAATTTATTTTATATCTTTTATATTTTTATGCTATTTAGACCCAAGCTCACACATACACGCGCGTGCTTTTCTACGAACTTGCTAAAAATTTGTAGCTTCCACTCTACGACATTTCTGCGAAATGCTTTTTGTCCTCGGGCGTAGATTAAAATTGTAAGAATTGTGGTTGGTCGATGATATCTTCACCGCTTCGGCCGGGCTTCTTCGAGTCAGATGCTCGTAACCAGTGGCTGCACCGACATTTGTCGTAATTATTAAAGGGAAAAAATCGCGCAAGATGTCGGCGGAATATTTTTCTGGCCGTTTCTCTGACATTTTTCTCATCTTTTTCCATGAAACATATGGCTCGATCATAGGAAGGTTTGCACCAATTGTGACGATCTAACAAATCGATGACACTAGCGCGTTTATAAATCGGTTTTCGTACTCGAGTGGTCCGTGATGCTATTCAATCCGGAAATTTCGTATGACCTAAGTAAAACAAAAACGTCTTCAGCATATTCCTTTCGCAATTTGTACTGCGCGCGACCGGAAGAATGAGTATGCAAGCGTCGTGTTCTCGCGGCTTTTCCGCTTGGAAATCATTTCGAGAATCAGCTATTCAGTTGAAAAGCGTGATTCCGAGACTCGTAATTCTCACTAGAAGATTGCTTCTGAATTTCTGCGTGAAGGCTCTTTCGCCAAAAATCAAATTTCTAACTCACATGCAAAACTAATATATTTGAATATTAATAAAATAGTATAATGTAAAGCGGTATAGAATAATTGTCCCTATTAGTATGCTTTTGTATTTAAATAAGTCATAAAGGAAATAAAGTAGAAATAAATAAGAAAAAAATTTTTTTAATTAAATTGTTAATGTATATATACGATAATAAAGATAATATTCTATTTTTTAATTATTAAAATGCAGTAAGTATTTTTGAATGATACATACATCACAATTTAGAGAAATTTATGTGAAACTCGTAATACCGCGCAAGATTTTAAGCTTCTCCCTATTAATATATTGTGTTGGAGCTGAGACCATTATATTATGGGTGACATTGAAATTGCAAGTATGATTAAAACAATGATTTATATAATATTAACTTAAACAATTAGCTTACATTTATTATTTGTTTTAGTAATTATGTATTAAAAGTCATGTGAATAAACACAGAAATTGAAGGTACATTAATAGAATTATCGCCCCTTAGAGGGATACACAAACACATATTTTTTATTTCCATTAAGAATATTATAAGATATTAACGTTTTTTTTTAGATTAAAAAAATATATAAGAAAAAGAAATATTGAAAATCAATTTCAAGCAAACAAAACTAAAGCTAAAATATTTAATGATTAATATAATGAGCAAGTTGGCTTAAAGACTAACTAGTTACCCTATTCGCGTATATATTCAAGTATTTTGTAGATAAATATATACACGAGCACTAACCGCGGAAATAAAAGTAGCCATTTTTGTTAATGTTCATATTAAACTGCTGGGATAAATTACGGAATCATGCTTCTCAATTCTTCACGAGGAAAGGAATGACGCCAACAGAATCTGCGAGAATATTTAGCTCTCCGGGAATTCGTACTTGAGCACAACATCGTTATTGCACTGCCATGCACAGTCACGCATAGTCCAACGCTCCAAGAGAATCTGCATATTATGCAAGCATGTCGTCCGTTTCTGTTATTGTCTCAGTATGCGATATACTCTTGCGCGTGCACTCGTTTAAACCTCTCAACTTATTAAACATCTATGCTTATCGTGTATGAATAAAACATTGGTGAAAAGAAGAATTCTTCTCGGAGACATGCGAGTGAATTGAAAACAAACAAAAATCAGATTTCCGTGTTACTCATTTAAAGGACATTTACTTCGCTTCAGCTGTTTGAAAGCGTGTAGGAATGAGTGAAATATAACAATAAGATTAATAGGACAACCACTAATTAT